TCTTGCACCAATTCTACTTCAATTTGATAAAACATTTGCTTTTCTTATTGGCACATTATTAATTAAAATAGCTCAAAATAGAGATGATCTTGAATCAATGTTAATATTATTTCAAGAAAATTTATCTGAAAATTATTTTGAAAGCGTTTTAATACGATTAGCAAAAGTTATCTCAAATAAACATTCTCGTTCATTTATAGAACAATTAAATGTTAATGAAAAACTTGATTTAGCTCAATGGTTTATCAAAGAAAAAGATCAAGGATTATTTGTTTTTGATTTACTTAAAATTCATGTATTCAATCGATCAGGTGTTGATCGAGAGCAATGTCAAAATCTTCTTCGACAAATGAGACAAAGTGAAAATTTATTTTTAAGACAACAAGCATTGGGATATACTGTACGATGGAAGAGGAAGAAAGAGAGACATCCACGACGACAGCGTAATCAAAAAAGTGTTCCGAATAGTTCCTCTGATCCAGACATATCTGATATTAACTTGTTCGAAATTTTCGATGTCGTATAGAGTTGATAAAAATAACATCATTAGAAAAAGTACAAATAACACTCTTCTGTGTGACTCGCTTGACCCTCGACTGAATATTTTACTATTTTAGTATTATATATTGCTTTACAGCGCTAAAAAACTAGTATCTATCGTTTGAGCAAGGTTGCGTGTGAGTGTGGATATTTATATGCGCATCAGTCTCGTTGTACTCAATGCTATGCATGTCCGTGTGACACATTTTGTCATAAATTCATCCAACCAAATGGACGCACACAAAATAATACCCAACGGAAGTCTATATGAGCCACGCTAAGGCAGCAGTATCAACATGCTTCGAGAAAAGAGATTATCTTCAATAAACTGAGAGGATCACAATAGAAAACACGTCCGCGACACTAGCGTGGAAACGCACCATGCACATTAAGAACTCTAAACAAAGGTCCATATAGTTACTAGCACATCAACTGACAATGCCATTTGCTAGCATTGGTTACCAAAATACGAGTTTAGCTAGGCTGCTAGATTAAAATAAATTATATTTTATCAGACCTGTAGTCAGATTAAATCACTTAAGTGACGCCCTCAATTAAAGTAGCCATCGGATTACACAGTTAATATCAATACATTTGAATAAATTTAGGCATTTGAAAGCACACAGACAAGAATACATAACAGCGGAAAAACTCATTTTATTTGATTCAAATCTACTTCGAATGGAGCGAATCTGAATTGTTTGCGTGATATTTTCCGTCAAATTTTCTATGCAGATACTGTGCACGTGCAGCACAACTGCTCTCAAACTTTATTTGAAAATACTTCTTAGATTTGTTGCCAGTTCTAGTTCCTATTGAAATTGACCAAATCTAGACCGTAGACATTTAATCGCGGCTAGCCGCTACCACTCTGAATTCTACTTCGGCATAAGATGATCCTCTTTGATTAAAACCCTACCTGATTCTAGACTTCACTTAGTTCGAAAAATCACTAGATTTCTAACACGAAAATTCTCGATGAGAATTTCTAAAGCCGAAACTTTGTTGTGAACTATTCCTTATATCTTTAATTACATTCTCTAGCTAGCCAATCAGAAGTTTACTGAAATTCCTCATGAAGAGAATCTTAGTGTAGTATTCTCTAAAAACAACCTAGGTTTTATTGTAGATCATTGCTGAAGCGAATCTACAATAAACTTGTAATAAGAGCGAGTAGTCATTCGTCGGCACCCCTCTGGAGCACCACTCACGGCTAGTCGCCCCATTATTTGAACGCACTTAAGCAATAGATGGTTATTCTCTATTAACCATAAAGATGTGACCTCATTTTCATATACCTGATTATATTATCTTCTTCAAGTCATAGTGGTGGGAAATTCTATGAATCAGAACTTCTGCTCAGACAACTGTGAATAATAAAATACTAAGACCGAAAAGTTGCAATGCAAGTAGACTTAGATACTGATAATGTTGAATCGACTAAAACTTGAATTTCGGTATCAGTGGTACTTTGGAGGGTTGGTGTGCGGACTGGATATAGGTACGTGAGTGGGTGTGTTGATTTTGTTCTGTCTCCCATCCACACCTTGAAAAAATTCATATACATTTCCTGTTACTCAGATTATCGAGTCTGTAATCACGCTAACACGTCTGAATACGTTACACTCCCAATGACTGCCACATCACAAACTTATTTTATTTCATACTACTCGATGTTCAGTCCAGCGAAAAATCATTGCTTCCCTAGAAAACCTAGCTCTCACTGATTATAAACGTGTAGCCCGGAAATTTTCAGAAATCGACTAAAGATTTAAATTTCCGGCCCCTGATTTACTTTTGTCAACTTTTATGAAACATCGTTATTTTCTCGAAAAATCCTATCATTGCCCGTAAAAACAGAACTGAAGATGTTGAAAAATTGATGATAGATTCGGATTCTCCGACCCCGATCACGTTCGGTTAAGCCTTATAAAAAAATATTATTTTCTCTAAAAACCCCTTTCCTTGGCCGAAAAAAACTAGTTCAGAATTTTGAAAAACTAATCATAGATTTGGATTCCCCGAACCCGATTACCTTAGGCCAAACGTTGTTAATTAAGCTAGTAGATCCAGACACGTGACTAAACACGTGCATCTCATTGCGCATCGACGGCCACAAACTTATTTTATTTCATATGACCTTCCCTTCAGTCGAGGGAATACACCTCTAAGTAACTTGTGTAAAGGATGACGGCGCATAAGACTACAAATCGGCCCACTGCCTTTTCAATCTGTCGTTCAGGAACAGACTATGAACGATAGGTCTCAGTATGACGAACATTTTCGTACTATTTTGGATGCATTTCGATAACACATCATCGGAAGTTTTGCTTCTGCTTCATCATGTGTTTTTGTGCTTTTTTTCTATAATACATGACTCCATGAAAACTCACCTGCGCACATGTTCTACGTCAAAAATGGGACCGGTTCGGTTCCAAGAAAACACAAACTCATCCTATCTGTCTCATGTCGACTGAGAGTTCAGAACTTCTTCAGTATAGCTAGGACAGATAGGCCTTCTAAAAATGATATTAAATATTGAGATCATCAAGCTAGCGAATTCGACTGTAACCGAAACAGTGACCAGATCTTGATATAAATCCATGAAAATCTGACTAATTTCGAGTATTGTTTGAACAATATTTTGAGAACACCAAAATACCTGTTTCTGATTTTTTTCAACATAGCCAGAGGATAGGTAGATCTTCAAAATGACACCAAATAGTATGGAATACTAGACTTGTCACTTGAGATGTGCCCAATCACATTATTATTGAAACACAATGTCTTACTTTTTTCACTGCTATTTGATCGATTTTGATCGAAATTATCGATGTTTCTACAGTAAACGTCCGCTAAAGTACTGTGTTATAAAAACAATGTCGATATTATTCAATGAGGGTGTAGATATGGATGTGGGTGAAGAGATGACGGGCATTCTCACCCATATCCGCACATTGACACCGACACCCACACCCTCAACCAATATTTATCATTTTCGACAAATGAATTTACTTGTTTTGCTTGAGTAAACATTAATCAGCGAAAATCTTCTTTCTCGATAAAATAAGAGTATAGGTGTGACTGAAGAGAAGACCCACACGCATCTACTCGCACCTAGATCCTAACATCTGTGACTTTGTCTTGACTATCTTCAGTTTGAAGAATAATTAATGAAACAAAAGGAAAAATTTTCGAAATCCAATTACTTGTCATTTTTCTGTTTTGGTCTAGTAGCGACAATGCTGAAAATTTTAGTGAATGACTTGCTGATTGCAGTCTTTCACACATAATTTTATTTCGTTGACTTAAGGGTACCCCCCTTTCCTCGCCCAAAATTTTTGTTTTTTTGTGTCCATTGTATAATTTCAAGTAGTGTCTATCTATTGACTATATTTTGAAACCCAACAAATGCCTTTAAAGATTAAAAAATTCGAGAAGAAATCAAGTTTACATAACGAAAATAGCTAAAATTGTATATTTTTTTGCGTTTTTCTCAAAATCAAATTTTTAGCAGAAAAAGTACTGTTTCGCCCCCGTTTCTCCGGCATGGTAAGAGATATCGAGCTGAAATTTTTTTCACATATACTAGACACTGTTTCAGGTGGGTACTTTTTTAATTTCAAAAAATATTGCTCTGGTGATTTTTGGCAGCTGTTACAAAATTTGTGATAGTAAAAAGCAAGCTTTTTTAGGGTGTCTCTGGTATTTTGACTTTTTTTCCGAAAAACAAAAGATATAAGGAAACCAAAAAAAGTACCCATCCCAAATAGTGTCTAGTATCTGTAAAAAAATTTCAGGTCGATCGGACGTAGTATCTCGGAGAACGGGGGGCGAAAAATGGGGGTCATTTTTAGCCATTCTGACCCTGATATCTCATAGAAGACAACATCCGACAACTTTGAGTCTATGACAACTTTTTCTCTACTCATCAAGATCTATCTGTCCTGAAAGTTTCAAAAATTTCTCATGAGCCGTTCTCGAGATACACCGGAGAGGGGAGGGGTACCCTTAATCATTTAATCAAACAAACTATAACTACATTTTCAAATGTTCTAATTTTATTGAGTGTGTTCATTGATCTACTTAATTCAATCTTACTGTAACCTTGAGCTTGCACTGATGATTCTCGCTTTGTTCGAGTTGGACCGGCAAGTAGAGTTGATTTCCTTGAACAATAACAGACTTACACGCTGCATCAAGAAGAGTTATTTGAACATCTCCTTGTAATACAAGTTGAGCATTGACATTTTGTTTTTAAAATTTTTAACTTGAACGTCGATTTCAAAAGTCTCCAATAATACTGGTGCCTCGTCATCACTTTTTGACGTCAAATTGCTTTTTATCAAATAACGAACATCGTTATCTTGACCAACAAGTACTTGGTTGTCACGAACAGTAATAATACCGATGGGCATGAAATGATCAGGTGTTATATCATAATTTCTTTCAAAGATACCTTAATACATTCCTGTACTAATGCTTGTCAATGCTTTGTAATAGAACTGATATTTGGCAACAATATCAATGCATGGTAAACGAATGGAACTCGATAGACGAAGTGTATATTTGTCATTCAAAATATATGAATTCATACCTCTTTGTTCACCACCGATTTGAATTGGTTTCAAGCTTGAAGGTTTTATTACGGCATCCATTTCACGAGTAGGCTCCGAATAACCAGTAGCTAATTGCACATCACCACGTAAGAGACGAGTCATTTCCACTGCATATTCTTGTTGTTGAGCATTCTTAATATTTGCATAGGCACGGATGTGGATAGGTGTGTTTATGGAGTTCAAGGGTGGTAAATCAAGTTCTCACACCCACCCTTTATTGTGAAATGATAAATCAAAAATACAATGCCTTAATCAAATCTCATAAATAAGACACAATTTTCAATTTTAGATGTACAACTTCAAAGAAGCTAAATATGTCTTTTTTTGAAATATGTAATACTTTATGCAATAGCAGTTCGCAAAGTTATATTTTTCTTTTTCGCAAATTCTCAGTTGACTACTGTGACTGCTTTGTTTTTGAATAGAGCGCATCCATTGCATTCATAAGATCGATTCCTACAAGATAAGGTCTTGTCTATCGTGCATTTTACTGAGTAATTTTTCGATTATTGATATTGAACAAAGTCATTTTTCATGAATTTCAGGAATATGAGTAATCTTCGACGATCACAAGCGTTAGAGAGATCAGTTTTGGGGCAGTTTTAGAGGCTTTTTGAATTATCTTTTGTACAGTTTCTACATCCAAGTGTTTAAGGAACTTAAAAATCACCGTGAAGAAATCTTAAAATTGCAAAGGTTTCGAGTATTTATTGGTGAATTTTATAAAATATTCATTGAGATAAGCAACAGTGAAAGACGCAGCTCTTTAGGTTTTTCTTTTCTTCAGTTATTGTAAAAATGACTACAGAGGTTTCTATTTTTCGGGGACACTAATAATTCTTGTTCATGTACAATATTATACTTTCTAAAGAATATTCCATTTGGAAAGCAATCTAATGATTAATTGGTGCAGAGTTCTTTTTGCAATTATTCATATATCTATCATCTCTCTCTCTCTCATACGATTGAGAAACTAGAAAAGTTTTATTTCATAGATTAAACCCTTCGAGCTTCTCCTCAATTTACAAGTTCATAGCCGTCTTACAGTGCACCTGCAAAAATGAGATGTATACTCTTGCTTAAAGACACATGGCATTTCGGACTATCTACAACAAAAATAGTGTGAGTAGATGAGCCCTATTAAATATTGCTTAGAGGTTACATTATATCGATATTTGTCATTAACGCAGTACCGGCTGTCAAATGTGTATGTGCTCAGTGATTCATACGGAAGTTTCAACTATACAATATAGTCCGATTCACTTTTAATCAACGGATGGTAAAGTAAGTACTGGTTTATACAGGTTTTGTTGATATTTTGAAAGAAAAATCGTGATAACTGAAAGCAGCTGAATAAAGTTGAAATTCATTTTGTCAACATTTTAACAAAAGCCTTGAAATTTAATTATGAATTTGTTTCGCGAAACATGTGTAATCGTGCGTGTTGACACCAGATTGTTTTTGTTTTGCAATGAAAAGACTTCTACTCCTCAAGAATTTAACAAGCAACGTCTGTTACAGTTTGTCGACCCTTATCTTACATTGTGCTATTGTCGCTTTAGAGCTTGTCTGTCTCACCCATATATCAGCGTTTTAGTATGTCCAAATAGTTTTCCTTTATGTAATGTGTGCATAAAAATTTTTTCTCGATTCTAAAGGTCTCTCAAATTGTAACTCAACTAACTCTCAGACGAATAAAACAGATTACTGTCAAAGATAGAAAATTATAAAAGATATCTACATTTAGAAAATGTTTATTCAAATATAACTTTTTATGACAATTCATATGAAGTTTTCAATGATTTTTAAATTAGAATATTAACTTGGAATTTCTATATTGTTGAAATTCATATTTTGAGAAAATATGAATAAGACGAAAATGAGTTCATATGAATTTTTCTAGAAAATTATCTTCTATTTTCTAATTTTGCAGGTTACAATTTATCGTAGGTCGATATCAAAATTGTTTTATATAGCCAATGTTTTTATTCTAAAAAATAAAAATAAAATACTGAATAGAGTGCATCGAGAATAGAAAAAAAAATAGAAATAATAGCTTGAATAAATAATTAAAATGTCTTTAAATGTTCTGATAATGATGATAATTTAATGATGAATGTTTGTCGTATTTTGGTTCGCATCAAGCGTAGTATCGATGCGTTGAATTTTTCCGGATGTTGAAAATGTATATGTTGTATTGTATGTTTTATTATCATAGGTAAGTCGAGCTCGAATTGTATTTTCTTTTTGATCACCATCGGGAAAATGAATAATTTTCCAATGAGCTGATTTATTATTTGCATGTTCTTTTGTGTAATAATCTTGAGCTTCTTTTAAATCTTTATAAACGACTTGAGAATCGATAGTTTTTTGTACATTAGCATCAAGAAATTTATCAAGATTATGTAAATGATTTCCATTAACGGCATCAGCGAATTGTTCAACAGTTTTTTTGTGTGAATAACTTGTTGCATTATGGGCTTCAGTTGAAGGATGCGTTGGACCAGACGAATGAGACATGAATGAAAGCTTCTGATTTTATGAAGAAAATCTGTTAGCTCAAATAGAATAAAACAGTTGAAAATGGTCAAATATTCTTTATATCTAGTATATTTATATATGTATATATAGATCGAAACAAAAAAAATCCTTTATTCTCTTCTCATTAAAGTCACATCAGAAAATAACAAGTATCGATTTTCTTATTTCTAGAATAGATTGAAGATACGACAAAAAGTAAAAAAATAATGACAGCAATTGCGTCGATCATTAAAAATTTCGTTCCATGCCATATTAAATTTCATTCTCTCATTCATTTTTATGCATTAATTGTAAACAAAGATTTCACTATTTTTAGTCGAGTTTCATGATCAAGTTAATGGGTACAATTTTATTCTGCACGAAATTCCCATAAATCTGAAGTTTCTATAGACTACTCAGTTAACAAGATGTTAAACAATAATTTGTAAGGCACTTCATACAATTCATGTGTATGACATCAACAATTATCAATCTCATTTAATTTACCTTTGTTGTCTATTTGATCATAGAAACTTGAATGCTTGTAAAATCTGAATCCAATTAAAATATCAATTTTCAAGTTTTTTTACTACTGAAAAATGACTCAATTATTTACTTTCATCTATTCAAACTAGAGAAAAATATATCACAAGTATAAATAAAGAAATTAGCTTTAAAAAAATGCAATGATAATTAATTTTATTGCTGATGATGTTTGTAATTAAGATCAAAATACCATGGAATACTTATCTTGGAATACTTAAATCATAATAAGATTTTATTGCTGTACTCAAGTCTTTGGCATGAACTAATTGATCTGCAAGTTGATAACCATCCATAATAGCCATGTTTGCTCCATTACCAGCAAATGGACTCATGGCATGTTGAGAGTCACCAATAAAAATGACTGAACTATGGTTTCGAAAGGGTATCATATCTTTGGCATTAAAAATAGCAACACTGCTACGTAATGTCTCTTTGAACAATGTAGGCATTCGTTCACTATAGACTTTCGTACGTTCTTTAGCTTAAGTGAAAATTTCATCAATCTCATCATCAGTTATTGTTCCACCAGCTTTTGGTTCACGAGGTGTATCAGATGAATAACTGACACTGCAGAGAGGGTGTGGGTGTAGGTGAGGGTGGAAAGGACATCCACACGCACAAACAGATTCCACACTTCACAGCAACACACCCACACCCTTCACTTGCTCTTGCCATATAACACTTTATAGTTTTCTTAGATAAACTTTTGAAGAAGATAATTATATTTTAAAATGTTAGAATAACGGAATTCAATAGCGTTCTCAGAAAATAAGTGAAGGATTTTATGAAAAGTGCAAGTGAAAAATGTGTATTTGCTCACTCCGATTTTCTCTCCATTATCTATAATTAACTGTTTAAAATTGATACCGCACAGTTTCTCACTGAAATTGTGTGTTAGAAACTGTATTCACTCATTGATTAAAGGTATAAATGACAATTTTTTCTTTGCTTCGAGTGTTATCGTATAAATCCATCTTCGTGAAAACTGTTTTTCACGGTGGTCTAGTAAAATACGACCGAACAAGAATAGTATAGTCAAGCTCAAATCTATCTATGTTCGATTCTTCAAATAATGTATCGGCTAAATTGGCTTCAACAAATTTAACACGTTTCATTCATGAATTGATATATTTAGCTCCGATCATTCGTGATCGAATAAAATCAGCATATTCTAAATTGACACCATTAAGTTCAATATGATGGGCAAAAGCATTTTGTTCAAGAAAAATTAACAAGATAACATATATTATCTACAATTCGAGCATCAAAGAAATCAGCTCCACTTATATCAATTGAATCGAAATCTGAACGAATAAATTCATGATCATAAAGAAAGAAAAGAATACTTCTACGTTGGTTTAAATTAATTTGAAGCAGTGGGTGGGTGTGGGTGTGGGTGTGAGTGTCGGTGTCGGTGTGGTTGTGTTGGTGTGAATTAAGTCAAGATGAACACCCACACCCATACCCTCTCAATCAAAAAGCGATCGGACATTTTGGAACGCTCCCTCGTGAAGAATTTTCTACGATCTCAAGTTTTTGGAAAAATCATATTTTCGAATTTCGATCTGAAACTTTGCACATATAGAGATCTCAACTAGACTAGCTTCGTTAAAAAAATTCTCCAAGTTCTGAGTAATGTCTCTTCAACATATGATGCTTTCAAAAACTGCATCTTATATACAGTATCCATGCAAAACTACCTATATCTTAAAAACTCTATATATTGAGGTGGCTTTGCTCAAAGATTCTAAATTTTTTTTTAATGGAAGCTAGCCTAGCTGAGATCTCTATATGAGCAAATTTTCAGATTATGATTCGGTAGTTTAGTCAAATTTCAATAGGAACCCAACTTGCTTTAGAGTTTTTATTAGAAGACTATATAGTATTTATAGACAGGAAATCATTGAAATTGGAAGGAGACATCTGAAGAGATTCCCTCATTATGGTTTGGAGTAAGATTCAACAGTTATCAGTAGATTCTTTCAAAAGATCCAAAAAAATGATTGTACATCATGCTATTATAGCCAATTTTATAGAGCAAAATTTGCTCTACAACGGGTACTATTTACTTGTGCATTACAGATTTTAAAACTTTTGTATTTGTAAAAGCAATTTTTCGAAACAGTGATTTTTTTTTACTACTACCCATTTCCATAGAAACAATCTCGTTAGAGTTGAAACTGTTCTAAGACACAAACTACTGTAATAACTATGCAAAAAACACTATTTTACTTTGAACATACACATGCAGTTTCGGACTTTTCACATAATCCATTGGTAGTTGTCCACTATGACTTCAGAAGAAAGAAAACTCTATTTCTAACTAAACCAAAAAAAGAGCGAATACTTCGTGTCAAGACTTTTGCTTTATAGGTTATTTTAATGTTATTTTACGAACCATTGAATTAATAATTGACATTTGAACTAAAGAAAAAAAAATAAAGTACAGCACCACGTCTAGCAACTAATCTATATGTATCAAATAATTTTTCAATATCTTGTCGAATTTTTTCACCTAAATTTAATGCTTGTATAACTTCATTGACTTTTACTTTTGTATTTTCTAATGTTTCAATTAATTCTGTATGATCAAGAATTTTTATATTGTCTTTAAGAAAACAAACCCAGTACTTGTTGTTAATTCTCTTAATAGTGAATCTTCAAATAATTTTTGTTGTTGTTAATTTTCAAATATTTCTTGAATTAATGTTTCACGCATTTCTTCTTATTCACGTCTTTCAATTTTAACAAGTGAAGATAATAATTGTTCTTTAAGACCTTTTAATATTACTGTATAATTAATTACTTTTGAATAAGAAAAATGTAAAGTAGATAATATTGGATTTGATAAACGACATGTGAAATACATGCGAAAATTTTTATCAATATCAATATATTTATCACCTAATTTAACATATTGATGAGTTAAATCGCCTTGAATATTTTTTGATAAAATATCTAAGATTATTAGATCAATATATTCATCAACATCTTTAAAAAGAACTGGATACCTAAATGAATATGAATATTTATTTCTCCAACATTAAATTCAATTAAATTAGATTCTAAACTAATTTTAGTCTTTAATCTCATTGCAACATTATTTATCCCAATTTTAAATTCATTTTTAATGATGCAACAATCTAACACATAACTTGTCACAATCGACATGATTAGTTAATAGACATAGCCGCCATGATTGAATGATTACGTTTTTTGAAACGTATCTTGAAGATACTGTGTTCAGACCTCAGTGCCACCAGCCATGGAATGACCCTGGATGAATCACTAGCAATCGCGACATACACCTACTCTTGTGATTAGTTAGGTTGTATGAAGAGCTCAAGTGATTGAATACAAAAACTCTGCATCAGGCTGGCCTTCTGTCTAGAGGTACAGCTAATATTAGTTGTAGGAAAGATATCGGGCTACTGAATCTGCTACTAAGAATCAGTCATCCATCTTTGCCTACCTCTATCGTTAAAAAGAAGCTTCATTCTAGATAATGACATTATTGCTTGTTTTTAGATACTTCATTTAAATTATTAAATCAATCGAAGAAAAAAAAATATTCCAAATTTTCAATCCAAAGTGAAGCAACATCACCATCAAATACAATGTAACGTCTTTCATTACGTATTGTTGGTCGATAAAGCATCGAGACAACACCATCAGTCCATTCATCTACATATAAATAATATTTGTCTTTATATCAAAAGTAAAATTATATGTTAGTATCCAATCTAGGATCTCACTTTAGACGAACATTAATTTAGATCATTCTCGGATTGGTAAGGTAACCATCGAACATGAAATATTATTTTCAACAAAATACAATATCTAATGACAAGTAAATAACACAAAAACAAATCGGCGAAGTGTACTAGTGTGGATTTACTTGTTCTCTTCGTCTTCTCTTTTACACCTACAGTCGAGATACAAATTAATTGTTTTACTTTTCCGAAGTTTGTTTTAACAAAAACGATGATTCAATATCATTCACATTTTTCTAAATCAGTCTTTATTCACTATATTCTTTGGATTCAACCAACACCTTCATATGGAATGCAATATACTTAATCTCTAATTCAAAAATTGGCCTGGATTAATCTTCGTCCAAAGTGAGATCTGAGATTGAACGATAGCATATATGGATATATATATACATACGTGTCAATGGATCCAGTGTACCATATGATTCAATAACACTTTATGCTTTTGAATTGAATGTATACCCATTTGTTTTCATTCCCATTCGAGTTTGTGCTTCCGCCAAAGTGTTTAACACCACTGTCTTTCCTCCACTAAAATCAAAATAAAATCTTTTCTTTTGATAATCATAATAAATTCTTTTACCTTGTTGGATCAATTGTTCTGAAACTAAAATATATTGTGGTTTGATTAATATTTCTTTAATAATTAGATTAACATTTTTATATGATATTTCTGGACAATGAATATTTGGAAATAAATCATTTAATAATGTAAGAAATAAATTAACATCATCATAAATAAATTTCGGTATATTCATATGACGGAATGCTCTTAAAAGAACAATTTCTTCTGGATCTTCTTTCATTGATGTTCGTTTTAAATATCCTGTCATTGATGAAACAGATTTAAAACTTCTTAAACCCTAATCATAATGAAACTAAAATATCAAAAGAAAAAACAAAAAGAAATAATTTTTTCTTTAAATTTAATATACTTGTTTACTAAGTACTTCTGATGCATAACGATATAATGTTACCATTTTTTTAGCTAAAATATTTGCGTGTATAAATCCATTAGCAAATAATTTTATTTCTCCAATATATAGCATATCGGGAACAATGAAAGTAAATTTATTAATATCAAAAAAAATCTTATCAACACAGATCGTTTTGAGCTAAAATGTGGAATTCATATGTATTCACTAGTCTCGCGATACTAATTAATAGAAAGTGCGTCAGAGAAAAAATCTGTAGCAGATTATAGTTGTTTTTCAAGGATAATCGATCGTCTGAAAAACCATCTGTCTGATTTATTTCTGAATTTCGAATAGAAATATTTTCCTTTTCTTATTGGTGCTCTAATTTTGTTAGCCTGTTTGCTACTTTCTCGTTGTTTTACATTTTCATATTTTATATCAATAACAGGTCTCAACATACTATTATATATCTCAATTAGTTTATAAATACTCATAATTTATTGTTACAAATAAACCAACAGTTGATAGAAGTTGAATTTCATTGTGTTCAAAAAAAAATTGTTTCACATGTGGTAATGATAATGCTTGTTGAATACTTTTTACTGGAGTAGAAACTACACTGAGAACAGATACTTCAATACGATTGAATCTGTTTTTTTTTATATTAAATAATTATTAAGTAGAATATTAAAAAAAAGAACATTTAAATAATTTACTCATCAAAACAACCTCAAGCACCTGTTTGACATAAACCATTTCAATTTTTACCTATTGATTGATAATCTATGCCTAAAAGTTAGGAGAAATTATACCAGTGATGAAACTGATCTAGGTTTTTGATGACTGATTCGATCTGTGAGCTGAACTAATGAATGCTAAAGAAAATCTTACCTTCATCACAACTGGTAACAATACAAAGAAGGCCCATAGCTTTAGCAAGATCTCTAATTAATTCTGTTTTTCCATTACCTAATGGTCCGGCTATACAACAAATATGACGAATATCTTTTCAATATTCTATGTTATATACATCAATCAAACCTAGTGCACAACCAAGAAGCATTGACAAATTCTAGTGTAACTGTTAGATAAATTCGATCAGTTAATGGTGTAATAACAAGACGACAATTAAGACCCATATAGTCATAACCTATTTTACACGAAAAACAAAAGAACATTAAAAGTCTCTATTGAGAACTATCGTTTTAAACTATATTCAAATTTTCCATTGCATTGTTGTAAAAATAAATTATCTTCTTTTGATAGCCAATAAAAACGTAATTGACATTGCCATGAACTAAATTCAATTTAGAATTTCTATAATATATACTTGATAAAACTTACAAATCATGAGGTTCATTAATATCATTACGAATTAAAATATCTACTGTATCACGAGTATGTACATCGATTGTAAGAACTGTTTCAAATTTATAATATTCATCTTATATAAAGAAAGAATTGATGAAGGAAATATTTTATTCTAATCAAAATTTTTTTTGCTTGGTTTTAAAAATAAATTATACTTGCTAGCTTCAATTGATATTGATATTAATAAAAATAAATTGCTGTTTGAAAAACTGCTTTTCAAAAAAAAAAACTAAGCTATAAAAACCGATCTTGTATTTTAAATTTAATAAGTTGACAGTGGAAATATAAAACAGTATTCTGTACAATCACTACTTTGGACCTTTTGAAATGATCTGATTATAACTGTCCAATCTTACTTCAGAAGGACATGTAGCTCAAAAAATGAGTGAATATTTTGTGACAAGACCTTCGCGTCATAGGTTAGTAAAGTGGAATGTTGAATGCATATTCGATGGACTAAATAAATGCTGTATTACGTAAAAATAATAAATAGTAGAAGTTGTCTTGAACAGTTGCTCATCACATCAAATATTTGACGAGAGATGATCAGAGGACAAACATTCTAAGTCTAATTTCGTATCTATATTTACTATGTATTCATTAAGTAATTTTTTATAGCAAATCAAATTGTATTTGTTTAAGATGAGACATTGTAAAATTCACATAATGAAAATGCGTCAAAAATAGATTTTGTTGGTTCTCAAATATTTGGGGCTCTAATCGTATTCCTAATTACAACGAAGTTTTTTAGTCTGAATCTGATAGTCGTTTCAAAGATGCGAAATATTTTTCTATCGATTATTCGTGTTCTGCTATTAATACACGCTAGACATTTCGCAAATATTTTTGATAATAGTCTTATAATAATTGGCTCTAGTCAATAAAACGGTTCATTATGGGACAAATTCTAGGCTTTCATATTTTCGTGCTAAATACTTTCTTTTAGAGTAAATTTTGCACTAGTAATCATAGTCTTTTGATTCATATCTGCATTCAAATAATCGATCTATATCTCTTTATTATATTTAAATCATAGAATTCTTTTCTTTCCTAAAATAGATCTAAACTTAATCGGTATGCTATTCTACATAGATCAATTGATTAAATCATAAGATGTACTGATTAGGTATGAACACCTTGAAAAGAGTTCGGACTAACAACTTATTGATGACTCTTCAAAAACACTAAGGAATCTGTGTTTCAAATTTCGATTTGAAACTTTCCATAGTGCCACACCTTAATGAGAATAGTTTATTGTAAAAGCTTCAGATATTTCGATTGCTTCCATTATAAGATATGGCTATGATGAAATCATGTTTTCGTACGCCGCTCATATACAACGGCAAAGTCTGATGTTCTTTTTGCAGAANAAACCTTCTAAAAATCTGACTATTCATCATTTTTCTGCTCTAACAGCCTAGTTGCGACAATGATGAAGATCTTAGTCCATTATTTGATGATTGCAGTCTTTCATGCATAATTTTATTTCATCGATTTGGTTATTAAATCAAACAAACTATAACTGAATTTTTCACGCTCCCTAATTTTTTTTAACTTGCTTTTCGATTTATTTAATTTAATCTCACTGTAACCTTCAAATTGCACTGACGATTTTCTCCTTGTTCGAGTTGAACCGGTAATTGAAGTTGATTTCCTTGAACATTAACAGATTTACACGTTGTTTCAAGAAGAGTTATTTGAACACCTTCTTGTAAGACAAGTTGAGCATTGACATTTTTGTTCTTAAAATTCTTAACTTGAACGTCGATTTCAAAAGTTTCCCATGAAACTGTTGCATTGTCATCACTCTTTGATGTCATATTGCTTTTTATCATATAGCGAACATCACTATCTTGACCAACACTGAATGTTTGCGTGTAATTTTCTGGAACGTCTGGTAAAACAGCTTGACCAACAAGTACTTGGTTATCACGAACAGTAATAATACCAGCAGGCATGAAATGATCAGGTGTTATATCATAATTTCTTTCAAAGATACCTTGATTCATTTCTGTACTGATGCTTGCCAATGATTTGTAATAGAACTGATATTTGGCAACAATATCAATAAATGGTAAACGAATGGAACTCGATGGACGAAGTGTATATTTGTCATTCAATATATATGAATATATTCCTCTTTGTTCGCCACTAGCATGAATTGGTCTCAAGTTCATAACTTCCTTGTCAGCTAAAAATCCAGGAGGCTTTGCATAACCGGTAGCTAATGGCACATCACCACCTAAGAGATGAGTCATCTCCACTGTATATTCTTGTTGTTGACTATTCTTAATATTTGCATAGGTACGAAGTTTGTAATCTAAAATATAATTACGCATTCAATAGAAGAAACACTTGAATTGAAACAAATAAAGAGACTACTTACCAGCGGTATCTGTCAAAAGTAGATCATAACTAGGTGTCCATGTGATTCCTCTCATTAAATAAGACAATGCTCCAGTATATGCTGTAAGTTCAGTTTGAAATTGAAGCGATAATGTTGTCTCACCGTTGGTCGGTCGTGTCGATGAATATTCGATTGACTGTTTATCAGCATAAAAATAGGCTTTTGTATTTAAATTTTGAAGTAACATCGAATCAGGATCAACAATTTTCGCTTGAATCGTTTCACATTCACATTGAGTGGATCGTCGTACTGTTACTATGGCATCTTTGAGTGATTGAATTGTATTGTAGACTTCTTGTCGAACTACTGGTGTACCTTCCCAACTGATCGATCCATCAATTACATTTCCATAATCAGCATTTGTAAATTGATACTTGATGTTACCGATTCCATTGTGAACTTGACGAACTTCAGTAAAACTGTTGTAAATAGACAATTCAACAGCAAACAAAGATTGACTGAGACAGATAAGAAAAAAACTAAATAACAACATCTTATTGATGTATCTAGAAAAATAAATATATTGATGTACACATGTGTACATATACATAGTCTTCTAAAACTTAAAGGTTTAAGGCTCGGATAGAAAATTACAGTCTCAGTTCGGCTCTTTGCAAAACGTTCTACCAAAGAATCATAAAAAGTTCCACATCAAATCAAAATAACACGCCAATTTTCCATCAGCGAACAGTACCAAGGAAGGTTTGGTTCAACATCTATACTTTCACATAAGACACACACATATATATATAAGTCATGATGAAACATTAAATACTGTCGTATGGTGGACTCTCCCACAAATCCTTGTTAGATAAAAAAAGTATAGAAGGAGGTATCGAATCCTTGGGATTCTTTGATAAATAATTTTATTCATTGCGTCGGACCTATAACCTTTCATATGATTCGACTTCGACCTTCGTTCTGTAATTGGAAAAAAAACCTAGGTTAACCATCTATTTTCACATCCACGCAAACATTTATAAGATATGTACAAAGAGCGAGAGAGGGACGAATAAGAACGACAATGTGCAAAACATAATTGCGAAGATAGAAAGGTTACATTCATGACAATACAGTCAATAAGAAAGTATTAATTTCTGCAGACATGACATTTTATTC